GTGCCACAGGACTCCTCGTCGCTTTTGCAGATTCAGACGAACACGGCGACCCCTCTGATGCTCCAGAGAGAGTTCTTCCAAGGGCAGGCACTTGCTGCTTGACTCCCAAGGCGTCTGTATGTTCAGTCTTCTTAACGAGCTCACTTTGCAGGTATTGTCTTGGGTCTGGCTCCCAGACCTTCTCCACCCTTGCAACTGCTGCTGGAGGCGCTCCCCTTTCATTCTCCATTCACACCACATTCATTTCAACAGGGCAATCAAGGAAAGGGGAGAGCTCAAAAGACATTTTTTTCTTACAAGATCTATGTATCTTAATACAATGTTATAGGAGAAATGTTACAGAGATTCTATACAGAGATTCACTTAACAAAGATAGATCAAAAAAGACAAGATCTTAATACAAAATATAATATCACAGGGATTTCGCCACAATATCCCCTGCAGGCTGGCTCCGGGGCACAGCCTATCACCTCGCAGACAGGCAGAGAAATGCTCCCGCTGCTCTGCTCCGCTGGGCCGACAAGCAAGGCTCCCGGTCGCTAGACAAGAAAGAGGAAGGGGGCCGTGGGCTCCCTCCCCGGACAGCGAGGGAATAAACAGCCTGGCGAGCAGCGACAGAGCAACGCTGGCTGGAGCAGCTCTGGGGAACTTCAGGGTGAAGTGGCTGAGTTGCTAATTAAAACCTCATTGACACCACGTCTGTGCTGACGGCCTGGAAGATGACACGGGCTGTACCCGTCTGAGGGCCTGGAAGATGACACGGGCTGTACCCGTCTGAGGGCCTGGAAGATGACACGGGCTGTACCCGTCTGAGGGCCTGGAAGATGACACGGGCTGTACCCGTCTGAGGGCCTGGAAGATGACACGGGCTGTACCCGTCTGAGGGCCTGGAAGATGACACGGGCTGTACCCGTCTGAGGGCCTGGAAGATGACACGGGCTGTACCCGTCTGAGGGCCTGGAAGATGACACGGGCTGTACCCGTCTGAGGGCCTGGAAGATGACACGGGCTGTACCCGTCTGAGGGCCTGGAAGATGACACGGGCTGTACCCGTCTGAGGGCCTGGAAGATGACACGGGCTGTACCCGTCTGAGGGCCTGGAAGATGACACGGGCTGTACCCGTCTGATCAGTCCTGGGCACACAGGGGAGGGGGGTGAAAACCTGGGAAGGGCTGACAAGCGCAGCTTTGGAAGAGGGAGATCGGGGCAAGCGCTACCAGAGCGATTTCAGCGCCAACGCAGAGCAGGTTGACACGATGTGTTAGGACTCTCAATAAGCTTTGCCGCCATTTCTCACATGGTGCTAGTAAGGAATCAATGTCGTAGCAGGGGAGAGGGGAGGTTCTGTCACGGGTGGGAAGCTGGGGAAGAGACACGACTCCACAAACGAGCACAGCTCCGCACTCCTCACGAAGAGCCTACAAAAGCAAACAGCAGGCAGGCCGTGGAGAAAAGCAAGCCAGGGCAAGGGAGTCTTTACTTGTCAGTCTTCAGAGAGTCTGACGATAAGACGCCAACGGTTCAGGGTTATTTTAAAAGCAGCTTGATGATCTCCTTTTAATTACTTCAGCATTTCAGAATGAAAATTCCAAGGAGTCTTGGTACTCTGAGTTAGACATAAGCGCTACCTGGCGGGTTGGGATCTATCAGGCAAATGCCTCGTTAAACTTGTTTTGTAAAACAAGTTATTTATTTAAGAGCTAATTCAGGGGAGCAAAGAGTGAACACAAATGAGGCAGGTCTATTGATCTGAGAATGTTTGAAACTGAACTTAGTTGGTGCCCGTGAACTCAGAACAAGGCGCTAAACTGACCTAATGTCAGATTTCGCTCAGGCTCTGGACAAGGTGGGTGGGGCTGGCTCTGGGCCCCCTGGGAGGGGCTGGGAATCAGGCAGAGGGGGCAGCACTGGGGTAGCCTGCCTCACCCAGCCCTCAGTGCCACCCAGACCGCATCGCACAGGTCTCCAGCTGTTTCTGTGGTAGTGATGGCTGCCGGGAACCCCAGGCCCCTTTAAATCACTGGGCCCCAGGGCAGCTCCCCCCTTGTCCTCTCGTGGGCAGCACAGTCTGCGTGCATGCAATCTGGCACTCTCCGGCCCAGCTCATCAGGCACTATGCAACAGCCACGTTGGGGAACCTCGTCCCTACGACATGAGTTCAGTCTCACGGGCTAAGACTGGGGAAACAAAGGGTGTTCAAACTCCTCCCCGATCCCAAGTCCCAACCCCGCTCCAAGGCAGCTGGAACATTCGGCTGGGGTGAAAGGGCGAGTGGCGTGGCCGGCGTGTGCTCTCCTGGTGCGGGGAGCTCAGGTGTGGGAGAGATGCCCATGGTACAGCCCAGGCACGCAACACCGGGCGGGTGCGTGTGTGGTTTGAGGCTCGTCCCAGGAACTGCTCTGGTGGCCAGCGGGCAGAGACAGTGCACCACACACAGACCCCAGGCTGCTGCTGCCCAGCTTTGGGTGGGGGACCCGTGGAGAACCCCGTTGGGCAGGGCAGTTGGGGGGCAGAGAGCTCAATTGGGTAGGTCAATTGGGGGACAGAGGGTCCAGTTGGGCAGGGCAGTTGGGGGGCAGAGAGCTCAATTGGGTAGGTCAATTGGGGGACAGAGGGTCCAGTTGGGCAGGGCAGTTGGGGGGCAGAGAGCTCAATTGGGTAGGTCAATTGGGGGACAGAGGGTCCAGTTGGGCAGGGCAGTTGGGGGGCAGAGAGCTCAATTGGGTAGGTCAATTGGGGGACAGAGGGTCCAGTTGGGCAGGGCAGTTGGGGGGCAGAGAGCTCAATTGGGTAGGTCAATTGGGGGACAGAGGGTCCAGTTGGGCAGGGCAGTTGGGGGGCAGAGAGCTCAATTGGGTAGGTCAATTGGGGGACAGAGGGTCCAGTTGGGCAGGGCAGTTGGGGGGCAGAGAGCTCAATTGGGTAGGTCAATTGGGGGACAGAGGGTCCAGTTGGGCAGGGCAGTTGGGGGGCAGAGAGCTCAATTGGGTAGGTCAATTGGGGGACAGAGGGTCCAGTTGGGCAGGGCAGTTGGGGGGCAGAGAGCTCAATTGGGTAGGTCAATTGGGGGACAGAGGGTCCAGTTGGGCAGGGCAGTTGGGGGGCAGAGAGCTCAATTGGGTAGGTCAATTGGGGGACAGAGGGTCCAGTTGGGCAGGGCAGTTGGGGGGCAGAGAGCTCAATTGGGTAGGTCAATTGGGGGACAGAGGGTCCAGTTGGGCAGGGCAGTTGGGGGGCAGAGAGCTCAATTGGGTAGGTCAATTGGGGGACAGAGGGTCCAGTTGGGCAGGGCAGTTGGGGGGCAGAGAGCTCAATTGGGTAGGTCAATTGGGGGACAGAGGGTCCAGTTGGGCAGGGCAGTTGGGGGGCAGAGAGCTCAATTGGGTAGGTCAATTGGGGGACAGAGGGTCCAGTTGGGCAGGGCAGTTGGGGGGCAGAGAGCTCAATTGGGTAGGTCAATTGGGGGACAGAGGGTCCAGTTGGGCAGGGCAGTTGGGGGGCAGAGAGCTCAATTGGGTAGGTCAATTGGGGGACAGAGGGTCCAGTTGGGCAGGGCAGTTGGGGGGCAGAGAGCTCAATTGGGTAGGTCAATTGGGGGACAGAGGGTCCAGTTGGGCAGGGCAGTTGGGGGGCAGAGAGCTCAATTGGGTAGGTCAATTGGGGGACAGAGGGTCCAGTTGGGCAGGGCAGTTGGGGGGCAGAGAGCTCAATTGGGTAGGTCAATTGGGGGACAGAGGGTCCAGTTGGGCAGGGCAGTTGGGGGGCAGAGAGCTCAATTGGGTAGGTCAATTGGGGGACAGAGGGTCCAGTTGGGCGTACAGGGCAGTGCAGGGTGCCAGGCGGGAGCTGGTCCGTGCAGGGAGCCAGTTTAAAAACCAGCTCCCCTCGCGGGCCGGCTGCCTCTCACCTTGTGATACAGGGCAGTGCAGGGTGCCAGGCGGGAGCTGGTCCGTGCAGGGAGCCAGTTTAAAAACCAGCTCCCCTCGCGGGCCGGCTGCCTCTCACCTTGTGATACAGGGCAGTGCAGGGTGCCAGGCGGGAGCTGGTCCGTGCAGGGAGCCAGTTTAAAAACCAGCTCCCCTCGCGGGCCGGCTGCCTCTCACCTTGTGATACAGGGCAGTGCAGGGTGCCAGGCGGGAGCTGGTCCGTGCAGGGAGCCAGTTTAAAAACCAGCTCCCCTCGCGGGCCGGCTGCCTCTCACCTTGTGATACAGGGCAGTGCAGGGTGCCAGGCGGGAGCTGGTCCGTGCAGGGAGCCAGTTTAAAAACCAGCTCCCCTCGCGGGCCGGCTGCCTCTCACCTTGTGATACAGGGCAGTGCAGGGTGCCAGGCGGGAGCTGGTCCGTGCAGGGAGCCAGTTTAAAAACCAGCTCCCCTCGCGGGCCGGCTGCCTCTCACCTTGTGATACAGGGCAGCAGCCCCAGTCCAGGAGAGGGCTGAGCTGGACCTGGCATGAGCGAGAGCTGAGCCGGGCTGCCTGCCCACCTGGGTCCTAATACACTTTGAATGCAGAGCTGCTGCAGGGCACCTGGGTGACCTGGTGTGAGCCAGGGCTGAGCCAGGCTGCTGGCCAGCCTGCTAAACAATTTACTGGCCAAGAGAAGGGGGGGGGGGCAAATGTGTGTAGTCTGCAGCATTAACCTATCAGCTTTTGCTTATTGGTTAATCGACTCCACTGTTACATCCCTACCGAGTGGTGGCCAGTCTGAGCTAGTGACTAGGTGCTGCCACTGCAGAAAGTTTGGGCCCTTCTGAGTGTCCTTTGTGTCACTGGCTTGTAGGGATGTGAAAGGTTAACTGGTAAGCATCGCCCTTAACGGGTGGGGGGCGCAGGCGGGGCTGCTCCAGCCCAGCTCTGGGAGGGGAGTGCTCTAGCCCACCTGAGGTGGAGCCGCCTGCCTTAATTGGGTAACTGGTTAAAGGTCACGGGTAGCCCGTTTACAGCCCTGCTGGCTTGGTGGCTCCGCAGATCGTCTTCATTTGTGTCTGCCTGTCCACAGGGGTTCGCTTCAGCGAGTCAATTAACATCGATGACATAAAAGCCCTGGCAGCCTTAATGACGTACAAATGTGCTGTGGTGGGTAAGTCATGAGAGCGGGGGCCCCCTGGGCTCTGCAGTGGGGCTTGGGCAGGGCCCTGCCGCTCCCCCCTCCCCCCCCCCCCCCCCAGGGTTCCCCCCTCCCCCCCCCCCCCCCTTTTTCCCAGCCCCCCCAGGGGTTAACCCCCCCCCCCCCAGTTTTGTTCAATAAAGAGAGTTTCTATTTCTGAACACATGTGTCCTTTATTTTGTACATCAGGTTGAGTGGTGGGCTCAGGCTGTTTGGCTCCGGCTGGAGAGCTGCCCTGCTCTGAGGGGTAACGTGCACTGCCCTGTAGTGAAGTGGTTACGGAGCTTGCGCTACCCAAGGCAGTCTGGAGCCGTGTGAGTTGGCGTATCTCTGGGCATAAGGCTGGGATGATTTGCTGATGCTCCCTCTGCGTAACCGCTGCGTATCTAGAGAGCCTTCGTGCAGCTGCACATGCTGAGGGCTGTGATCACCCTGCCTAGAGGGCTGCTTGTCGGTGACTTAGCACTGGGCACAGCGGGCCGGCAGTCCCAGGCGTGCCCCAGATGTCCTGGCACCGGGGTTTCACTGAACTACTTTGTCTCCTGGGGTTGGTGCTGCTGGTGACGTTTGTGACTGGTGCAGGTGCACTAACCGCTCCGCTCAGGACCTGGTCCTTCCTGCCAGATGTAGTTCTGGAGGCCGCGAGTGGCTGCTCTGGTTACCAGCCATACTTGGCATGGTGTTAGCGCCCGTCTGGATCAAAGCCCCCCCAGGAGTCGGCTCAGCCCCTCGTCCCAGCCGCACGCGCTAGCAGAGAAGGCGTGCCTCTCGCTGACTGGCTGCCTGGCATCTTGCAGATGTTCCTTTTGGCGGCGCCATGGCTGGGGTGAAGATTGACCCGAAGAAGTATTCGGTGAGTCGGCCTTGTTCTCTTGTTCCTGCTCCGCTTGCCCGGGATTCTTGCAGCTGTTCCTCAGCGTGCCCAGCCCGAGGGGACACTGACAAGCAAGGCAGCGGCACTGGCGGCGCACAGCGTTCCCTCCAACCTTTTTCGTCCACATGCAGAATACATGATTTGATGTGCACCGTCAGTGGAAACACAAACCTAACGGGCCGCACGAGCACCCTGCTCAGGGAAGCTGGTGCGGAGCGGCTCTCTGGGGGCTGTGAAAAGCAGGTTTATGGTTCAGCCGGGAGGTGACACAGCGCACGCGTGTGGAGTTGGGGCTGCCCCTGTAACGTGTATGGCAGCGGCTGGGTGCCATGCCTGGGGTGTTTGCATGTCTCTTGGGGCCCCCAGTACTGGCTGAATGTTGGTGTTCTTCCACAGGAAGGCGAGCTGGAGAAAATAACAAGGCAGTTCACAGTGGAAATAGCCAAGAAAGGATTTATAGGTGAGGGTGGCTCCTTCCCACATGTTCCTCTTGGGCGGGATGAAAACCAGCTGCTTTGCAAAGGAGCCAAGGGAACCGAGTGGCTAGGTGTGCTGAGGTCCCTGCGCCCCATAGCGATGGACGTTGCCTTGTGGTTTCCTGGTCTGGAGCCACGTGTGTTCACCTGGCTCGTCCTCAGACTGACCAACTGCCAGGCTAAGAGCCCAGCCTTTAGGTCTGTGTTTGTACAGCCCCACGCACCAGAGGTCTGTCCAGGGCCAGGCTCCTAGGCGCTCCAGCAGTACAGATAGCAGCAGATTCGTGGCCTTTGCGTTCCACGCGATCCCCTGGGCGCGTGGGGAGTCTAAAGCTTTGTAGTTCCTCCTCCCTTTCATGTGACCTACCGCTCAAGGGGGAGTTGTGGCAACGCAGAGCTCTTGGCGGGTGAGGATTGGGAAGAGGCCTGGCAAAGCCCCCGGGCAGGGAAGCTGGGTGACCGGAGTGGGGAGGAAATGTCATGTTGCAGACGGGCCCTCGTTCGACTCAGCAGCCTGGGCTGAACTGGCCTTCGGCAGCCCAGGCAGGGTAACTCGTCTGGGCAGACTGAACGGGAAGGGCCCAGAACTGACAGCTCTGGTGCCCGGGCAGGGCCTGGAACGGATGTTGCTGCTCCAGACGTAAACACGGGGGAAAGGGAGATGTCCTGGATGGTCGACACCTACTCCCGCACGCTGGGCTACAAGGTAACGCTGGCGTTAGACCCCTGGGGACGGCGTGGCTTTGTGGGGGGCAGCCCGTTCCCCGGCCGGCTGGGTGGCCTGATGCGGAGCTCCGCCCGGCGTGGGGAAGGCGCTGAATGGCGGTGACAAGAAAACTGCTTTATTTTTCCAGGACTGGCCTGTGAGGGGCAAGGAAAGCCTAAGGCAGGACTGGGGAACCTCCGGCCCGGCCCCCGGCTTGCCTGGATCTGGCCCCTGGGGCTCAGGGGCCCCCTAGCACTGGGGACCCCATGCTGGCGCTCCAACCCCCTGCCTCCCCACTGCAGGGATGGAGCACGCACAATCTACCAGACTGGGCCCTCTAGGCTCTGGGGTGGGAGGGAAATGTGGGGAGCGTCTGTCTCCTCAGTCGGGGGCCACAGCGAGGGCTTTGGGTTTTGTTTCTCAATTGTGCGTGGTGCCCAATAGATTCCCACGTGGGCCAGTGGCCCTCAACCCAAAAACGGTCTGTCTCTGTTCTCCCCGCCCCCTCTGGTCCAGCTGGGCAGGACGAGGGCTTGAGAGTTGCTCTCTCCTTGGATGGCAGGATATCAACGCCCACGCCTGCGTGACAGGGAAGCCCATCAGTCAGGGTGGAATCCACGGGCGGGTGTCTGCCCCAGGCCGGGGCCTGCTGCACGGCATTGAGAACTACATCAACAGCGCCACGTATATGGACCTCATTGGCCTGAGCCCCGGCTTCCCCGGCAAGACCTTCGTGTTGCAGGTAAGCACTGGGCAGGGCTTGTTTCGTTGCTGCCATCTCGCTGGAGTCAGTGGCTTTGCTCCTCCTTCCTTGCAGACGCAGGCTAATTTGTCTTTCGGGTTCAGCTGCAGCCCTGTCTCCCAACCCCCCCCTCGGCCGCTGAGAACACAGATGGGGAGACAGTTGGCCTCAACAGCTGACACCCTGCTGCTCTGTGAATTGTGCTGTGGGCTGGTGCAGCCTCCTGCGTTAGCCTAGGACCATCCCCAGTGCCGCTCGCGAGGCATTTAATACCTTGGAAACAAATCCTGTTGCAGGGACCCGTTGCCTGCTGATTTAGCGGCTGAAGCCAGATGCTCACAGTTCGGTGCCTGCAACTGTGCCCTGCTAGGTTCCCCTCTGAGGTACCGGCAGGAACAAGTAAGGCCCATGTCCGGCCCCAGATAGCAACCCCTAAAATCCAGAGCCCTGGTCACTTACGAGTAACGAGCAATGCCTGCGCTTCAGTAAATCCACTGAGACAGCCTCTCCTTCCTGCTCTCTCCAGCCCCGCAAACACGCTGCTTCATCCCTGACTGGTTTCCCCGGTGCCTCTGTCTGAAGGTGGGCTTTTGCCGTGCTCACCAGACAACTCGGCTCCTTGCGGCCCAGCGTCTCCTCCCTCCGCACCAGGGACGCGGCGGGCTTGTTGCTAGCGTCAGCAGCTCCGCTCCCTGGCAGCGAGCTGGGCTCTGGCTTGTCCGGTGCCTGGCCTTGTGGACTAGTGCAGAGAGCATGTGCTGTGCCCCTTGGAGGCCGGCTGCAGTGGAAGAGACGGCTACGGTAGGGCAGGGAGTTGGTGACTAAACACCAGGTGCCCGGCTACCGCAAAATAGAGACTGACTGAGTGAGATGGGTGAACTTTGCATCTTGGAGACCTCCCTGATTATGGAGCTGCGGAGTTTGAAACAAATGGGGGGGGGCTGGCGCTTCACGCTGGGCTCTCAGGCTCTCTGCAGACTTGGGAAGGCAGCGGTTGCAGACTGCAGGGCCTCAGACTGCATTAGTTCCACTCCACTCCTGTTCTCCAGCCAATCTGTGCGACCGTAAGGGCTACAGACAGCTGGGTTTTAAAGACGCTGCCATTGTGTGGGGAGAACTCCATGGAACTGGGGAGTCTGCGGTAGCCATTGAAATGAATAAACGGTAAGCATGGGCTTCATGGCTCCCTGCCTGGCTCCCGGGGGGCTGGCTGCCACCTCGTGCTGCTGCCTCGGTGCCAGTGTAAAAAGCTGGCTCCTGATGCGCACTGTCTCCCAGAGAGCTGACTGCTGCCCGGACACTGACTGAGCTCGGATTCGGCGCTGTCTGCCCGGGCCATGGGCTTGGGGTGCTGCTGGGGTCCAGCTGCATGTTTAACCAACAGCCGAGGGAGGCGTGGCACGCCCTGCTGGGCGCCGGTGCGGAGATGCCCGGGCTGGCCCTTGGGCCATGTAGCATGGGGAAGTCCTGTTCCTACGTGTTCTCAGCCTGGTCTCCTTTGCGACCAGCGACTCGTGTCTGGCACTGCCGCCCTTTGCGCCAGTCTGTGGAAATATGGAGCTGCTGGCGTTTTTAGCAGCCACGTGGCTCTCTGTGGGGGCAGGCAGGAGCCGGTTACAAGCGTGTCCCTGTGCGTACGGAGTCCCGCCCCCGTGCGGCTGCCTCTGCTAGAGAAGCAGCAGCATGTGGGAGACGGGGAGGGGGCTGGCTTAAAGGGATAGTGAGCCTTGGCTAATGCACGTTCTGGGCCGATGAAGCAGAGGAGGAGAGGCCCATGGCTGCTCTCTGAAAGCCCCTGACCCTGGCTTGCACCTGAGCTAGGATCCGGGGGCGAAGACCCGTCGGAAGAGGATGGGCTCTGCCATTACCTGCAATAATGCCTCCTCCCTCTGGGTTCCTGGAAGTTGAGAGGGCAGGCTCGAGAGAGTGAGAGCTCGAAGGTCTAGCCTGCCTGGGGAAGGCCCGTGGCAGGCGTTGGCCTGGCTGTTCTCTGGGTGCGTTACGTTGCACCCCCAGCTCCGGGGCAGTGAGCCAGCCAGCTGCAGCGCTGGGCTGCGTGGCTGTCCCTGTCACTGAACAGCGCCAGGCTGGCTGCCCTGCAGCAGACTCCGGCTAGTGGTGCTCGTGGAGCCAGAGCGAGCAGTGACGCTGGGTCCCCAGCTCTAGACACGGCCCAGGGGCTGGGCTTTGTGGCATCCCTGCCCTAGGGCTTTGGCAACGTGGGCTTCCACGCCATGCGGTACCTGCACCGCTACGGAGCACGCTGCGTGTGCGTCGGGGAGGTGGATGGTGCCATTTACAACCCCAGGGGGATCAATCCCACGGAGCTAGGAGACTACAAGCAGGTACGGCAGGCAGAGGAGAGGTGGGGCACTGCCGAACTGTGCTTGTCCCCCAGGAGCACGGCACCATCACCGGTTTCCCCAAAGCAGAGCCTTACGAAGGCTGCATCTTCGAGGTGCCTTGCGACATTCTCATCCCAGCGGCTGTCAGGTCAAAGCCAAGGTTCAGTGTGCAAAGAGCAGCCCTGCCCATCCGGAGGCTGCTGCCCTGGCCCCGAGGAGCAGCGTTTGGCCCTCCGGACGTGTGTAAACGGCCCGGTTTAGACGCACGCTGAGCCCAGTGTCCGGGGGCTCTGGACAGACTGGCTCGTGAGAGCACAGATAAGCATTCTCGCACGGATAAGCATCCTCGTGGGGCGGGGGCGAGTCGCTGCGGCGGCCTCCAGGCTCCGGTTGCCTTATGGAAACCTGGGTTTCAGGCTTATGGGGTGAGTCAGCCCCTCACGTCTCGCTGCAGCTGGGAGCAGGAGGGACTGTGCGTCTCCCAGCCAACTAACCCGCCCGGGGCAGGGGAAGGCCCCGGGAGCCACAGAGGGCGAAGGAGACGGAGACGGGCACAGGCACCAAAAGGGACACGGGGAAGCTGCTGGCCAAATCTCCCTGCGATCCCGGAAGCAGGACGCCCTGGAGCCCGCGGTGGCAGCACGTACCCATGCTGCGGCGGAGCCCGCGGTGGCCGCTGCCAGCTGGGAAAGCTGCGGGAAATGGCCCTTCTGGGGAGGAGGGAGCAGGGCTGTGGCAAGTCTCCTGTTGCGACAGCAGCCCTGTGCCCACCTCCCGGCCGTTTGTGCTTCCAGATCATCGCCGAAGCCGCCAACGGCCCCACGACCCCGGCAGCCCACGAGATCTTCCTGGAGAGAAACATCCTCGTCATCCCGGTACGGCGGGCGCCTCCCTCCCCGGCCTGGCGGGGTGGCCCAGCGGGCTCCCTCTCCCAGCATCGCTTTGCTGGAGCTGGCGGGCGGGCGAGGGCCAAGCGGGGCTGCGTGGGCGGTGCCCGCACTGTGGAGCTGCCCAGAGTCCAGGAGTGCGTGGGCTGCCTCTCTCCCTGTTGCACCGTCCCGCCACGCTGCTCCGAATAGTGCCCCAGGCACCCGAGGGCAGGGCCAGGCTCCTCGCTGTCAATCGCAGGGTTCCCCGCAGTCAGTCGTGGGGCCACCGGCACTCCCTTGCACCCGGCGGCGTGCCTGCCTTGTGCCCTTTTCCCACCGGCTCAGGCTCACTCCTTGTCCCAGCGCCGCCCAGGGAAGTGGGACCCCAGCCCACCCTTCCCCCCTCCCTCCCGTTTGGCTGAGAGACGCAGCTGGGCCCAGCGGGAAGGATGGCCGTGTCTGCCCCCGGCTGTGCTCCGAGCCTGTATTGCGAGGTTCCAGACCCCGTGCAGCCGGCGCGGTGGCTGCCCTTTGACAGCACTCTGGGGGCTGAGTCCCTCGTCCGTTCTGGGCCCCACGTGGCCAGGAACCTGCCCCAGCGGCACCGCTCTGCCCAGCTCCATGGGAGCACGCCGGACACGCCCGCTCCTGCCCCCGGCCAGCTCTGCAGGGCCACAGCGCCCCCTCCTGCCCACCGCTGGAAGCAGCCTCCCGGGCTCTGATTCCTGCCTCGCAGTGGGCAAGGGCCCTAACGCCAGGGGCTGTGGGGAAGGGCTCTGCGCAGTCACAGGCTGGCCTGGAGCCCGCCTCTCCCCGCAGGACCTGTACGTGAACGCGGGCGGCGTGACCGTCTCCTTCTTCGAGTGGCTGAAGAACCTGAACCACGTCAGCTACGGGCGCCTCACCTTCAAGTACGAGCGGGACTCCAACTACCACCTGCTGATGTCTGTGCAGCAGAGCCTGGAGCGGACCTTCCGCAAGGGCAGCGGGGAGATCCCCATCATCCCCTCCCCCGAGTTCCAGGCCAGGGTGGCGGTAAGTGTGGCTGGGCAGGGGCAGGGCCTCCCTTCTGGGCATTGGCGTGGCAAAGGCCAAGGCAGCTCTGAGGGCTGCCCACATGGTGTCTACCAGGGAGGAATGACCAGTGCACAACACCCCCCCCCCCCCCCCACCCCCACGC